AAGTGACTGTCACCCGGTAATGACGGCATGCTAGTGCTATGCAGAGGAAAGGGCACTAAAGAGATCGCGAGTACAATAGCACAAATGACTTTCCGCAGTCCCGCTCTGAACCCTTACAAGACGCACAAATACGTAAACACCGAGAATGTATTGATTGGCGTTGGTAAGGGAAGGAAAGTCTTTTAGCACGCGTGCACTTAAATACACCAGTAAGGTAACAGCTAGTCAGATGTCGCTAGCCGCCAGGTGCTGATGAGAGATTGACCCTTATTAGAGCAGGAGCAGGAACTGGAAATAGCATAGTAGCAGGACGCCGGAAAATCTGCCATTCGTCTACGTAAAGAGGAATTATGAGAACAGATTTCTGCTCGCTCCAATTAAAATATTTAAAGATCCAATAGCTGAGGCCTATGGCGTTTAATAACTCTGCAACACGTAATACCCACGCTTTACTGCAGATGGTATACTGTTCCACATAGTGTGGCTTCGTCACACGACAATAGTGCATGAGAAAAATAACTCTTGGCTGTTCCGGAAAATATCCCAGAGAATGTTCCTCGACCTTCGGTTCCAGTGAGGTAGCGGAGTTGGCAGACAGCCTACTGTGAAGTAGACTGACAAACTTTATCATATGTAACTTAAATTGGTTTTCACTATCTCATGCATACAGATACGTAATTTAAACCCCCTATTAGTACAATATAGGGAAGGGAGCAAAATAGGTAGGGAAAGAAGAAATTGGGATGCAATTCCGCGTCGACGCTATAGGAAAAAAAAAGATTAGTAGCCGCCAAGAGTTTGGTTTTACTTATAAGATCGTGGAGGCAGGTTCGTTTGAAGTTGTCTTGAAGCTAAAATCCACAGTACCCCAGAAATCAGGGTGAAATGGAAAGATCATGTTCCCGGCAGGTGAAATAACAATCCGAAGAGAATGCAAATATCCCAGACTTTACCCAAAACTATGCGACTCCAGTTTCCAACAGCGAGAAGTTCGACTAAATGCTTAATGACAAATGGGAAAGGGTTCGAACTCGGGGTGCTCCATGGTCAGAGGGAGGGTTATGACTGACGTAGGTAAGCGATAAATAGACGTATTTAGCACTCGAGTTTTTATGTACTTCCTATGTATTTACTGTTCCTATAGCAAGAGTTATTTTGGACGCATGGCAAATGACATGTAGCAAACGATTCAATATTAAAATATTGACTACATAATGGAAGAAAATTCACAAATAAAGCTGAGAAATCGTACAGTTGGACGCTCAAAGACATGCACATGGAACACATAAACTCCACTGTACCAGAAACGAAATATTCTGAAGGTAGTTATATGAAGTCATTCAGACATAATGCTAACTTGCGAAAGCAGAGAACGCTCTTCATACAATTTTCTCAATAGGTATATTTTGACGTTCCGATAATTATTTTAATGCTACACTGGCCAATCTCATTCAAGGAGCTGTAAATTTTGCAATATTCTATTCGCGTAAACGAAAATATGTTGGACATCATCAGCAATTGTAAATGCTTATTTCAAAAGGTTTGTCTATGCTAAGCGTCGCTTGAAATTCAGAGAAAACAAATGGCCTGAACGAATTTTAGCATAGTTTAAAGTCTAAAACAGCATCGAGAAAAGCACCCAACCCAAAAATGGCTTCTATGATTTAAGTTTCAACCTTCGACTGATTGCAATAGCGTTTGGTGCTCTAAGTTTGAGGGGTCCTAGCATCACTCGTCAATTATGCGAACTAATATTTATTTCTTCTGTTTCGCCCCATTGGCCTAGTTGAGGTTATATATCCATTCCGTAGGTTTTCTAGCAAAGTCCTTAGGCAGAAATACTGAAAGTGTGTTAGACAAAACGAACTTCGGAATCTGAAACCTTCAACACTTTTGAGGCGGGCTTTAATTGAACTGTGCATTGAAACTACGTTAGAAGCACCCGACTCAGCAAAGACGACATTTCGCTAAGGCCATGGATATGGCATTTTGTAAACGTGTTATGTCAAGCACGGCAGGAGTAGTACACGTACTTTTGTTCCACTTTTAAAGGCTGGCCTCTGTGATTCCACAAATTATCTACTGCGGTGTTACTCCATGCTCACTCGAAAAGTCGTTCAGTTAGGAGGAACAGCTTTTTCACCAAACGTGCAGAAATTCTTTCTTAGGGAAGAAGTTTGTTAGAGAAAGATTTCTTGTCTGGTGTACAGGGATAAATACACTGGTCTCTATAGTGCAGAAGTTTAGGGGAACATTTGTCTGTCAAATTATGCATGTTGATGCATGGCAGCACCTTAAATGTCTTGCGGCCTAGTGACTGCATACGATTTCTAATTTCAAACGCGCTTTCGCGCTTTTACAGCGGATTTCTGTTAGTCTACCTGATGCAGTGATATTTGACTGGAATTGTGTGTTACTGATTCAACAAAGGCAATATTTTACGTTGAAGTACGTTTCCATACAATGCGCTCAGCTTGCTTATCAACAGGCGTCAAGCAATGTGACACCGAACCTCAGAAATGTACAAGAAACGCATCGGACTATACCATTTTCCGAAGGTAACTTACACTTTTGATGTCGTAAATGGGCATATGACTTGCTTTAAGGTTCCCAAAAGTCGGTTGAATGCGTGTTTTGGGAAAAATCCGCAAATAAGCTCATCAACCACTTGAATTGTACTCGGGGAATAAAATTATATCAATATATTTGGGATTTTAGCATGTCTTTGGAGGCGTCCACAGCCTACGGATTTCAAGCTAAAAGTGCATTCCCATAGAGTATTCATAGACGCCTTCACCTACTGCCCTTTTAAAACGATCTATAAGAGTGACTCAGTTAATAAATATTTAAATGACCGAAGATCTAACAAAATTGTTCAGACGCAACCAATTTCCGCAAACTTCCTCTAACATGCTTCGTCAGTGAGGAATTATCAGGTCATTTTTATTGGGTTACAGAGTACTCATCTGTTTGCACAGAAATCTGTTTTTTCAAAGTATTTAAACATACGACGGTGCACCTTTAAGTCTAATTTAGCCTTTGAAACAATATCTTCTTCAAATTTTATTCATGACACTAAGAGACAGCGAATGGTTTCATGCTCAAATTGCATCAAGATTTGTCAATAACCTTTTAAAAATAATCGATTTATTTTTCATAGATTCAGAATTAAAGCAAGCGAGCGGGCTGACAGTCAGAAGGCAGCAAATAGGCAACGGTGGCTTTTTCCGCCCTAGACTATGAGCAAGAACTGTTCGGTTATTTTGCCCTGGAATTTTAAAATAATTGGACTCCATTATGTCGATTGTGAAGGCCAAACAAGTTTATGCATGAGAAGGCGTGCCATGATCCGCCCCTCGCAGAAAGGCTTTCATGACATGTTTAAGGTCTCACGAGTTGTTCGCACCAGAAAGCTCGTAGTACTTGGCACACGAACGCATATTTCTTGGCAAAACATGGCATGAGAAGGAACAGGTTTACAAATAAAAAGTAAATTAAGATGCGTATTTCCCACAAAAGCAGGGGAAGACTGAAATAGAAATGTTATACCTTATTTTGCCTCTACAGCCGTCCATTACCCAACTCTCAGTCGATGAGACCTGATTGTTTAACTAGTTTCCTCATAAACCGCTGCACAAGCATCTTCTTGATTACTAGGGTTTAGGATGGATTGACATAGTTTATTAGGTGACTGTTTATTGGAATAAAGAAGGGGAAGATGGGTATCGTAAACGCCTGAAAACCTGTTCTAAATTCGTCAATTCACTTATATCCAAGTGCGGGTACGATGTAGGTTGACACAATGGGTCCGTATAGACAGCGTGTGCCGAATTTCGTAAACATGGGTTTGATAATGAAACTAACACAAATCGAAATTTTGTATGTCTGAAAAGAAGAAGCGGTCGCTAGGGAAAGAGTTTGCTTGGCTTAACGTTTCAGATTCGCACTCGAAACCATCAACTGATGAGTCAGTCACCTTTTTTAAATAAGTTCGGTCTTCGATGGACAAATAGAATTTTGGGTTTTGTGAAGACCAAAATAATTTAGTGTCACTTGAAGTTCAGATGATAATTCTCCCCTCATAATCCCTACACTAACAGTCAACAACCTTTATAAAATAAACGACACAATGGGTTCTGGTAGCTTTATGCTTTGTAGATGTTACTTGTAAGACACTGAGTTCAGTGCAAACGCTGCTAGGCTCAGAGTTTGTTTTACATCTCTCCTACAGTGTTTGAAAAGAGTTTTCTCGTGGATAAGTCATCGAATGAAGTGTGTTAGAAAGAAGATATTTTGCGGATACTGACTCTAGAAAGAACTAATCACATACAGGTGGGGGCAATCTAATTACGGTTTGCAATATTTCGTTAGATGTAACTGCACTGTAGGCATGCCGTACAATGAAAACTGAATTGGAGCAGATTACCAAAGAGTCTTTGACTTCATCCGTCTGCAGTGAAGTTAACAGGAAAAACCAAACACGATATAGATGGAGTTAAGTCAAAAGCATGAAGGATAGTAATAGGGACCGTGGAAGGGTTTATTGCCGAGGAGGATAGGGAGGAGGAAGAAGATGAATAAAAGAACATTGAAGAGGACTAACCGAATGAAAATAACAGTAGCGATGACATTCCTGATGTTATAGTTTATGGGGACTTCTGGTGGAAAGTAGGGAGTTGAGAAAGGAATCGAATGAGGGGGAGTAACGAGGGAATCAAGTTTTAAAATGAATCACATAAACTAGTGGTAGAGTATGGAACTCAGTGACCAAAGGTCCCGGGTTCAAATCTCGAGGGTTCCAACCCTTGAGATTGGGTATGACTGGCTGATGACGGAATCACATAAACACCAATATTATTCATTGTAGTTAACCATTAATAGAGCAATTAATGCCCGAAAAGTGATGTCCTGCTAAGCGCTAGGCGCAAATACTACGTTTTCAACCTTGAAAAGTACATACCTTCGGTGTAAGCTGCGTAGAAAGCTGCCTTCTGCTTTACGGTGGACTTCGTAAAGGTTTCTGTTATGGTCACTCGCCGGCGGTATTTGTTGCAAAGCTTCAAAGCGTGCCGAATATAATCCGTTGCCTCCTTCAAGTCGACCTGAACGTGTCACATAAAATAAAGAAGATGAGCGTTTACCCAGTCATTTGAAACTAAGAGTTGAATGTACCTTTATTAAATTTTGCCAGTAATTGTAATCCGTAGATTATCCAATTTGGTCCGAGCTGACTTCCCTACTGCTTAAACATAGAAGATCCACCATGTCTTTACCTATTCTCACACTGCAAATGTGTTATCAAGACCCTTTGCTTAGCTAGGGGTTCCACGTTACTTATCTAACTTCATTATCGTTAGTGCAAGAAGGATAATGTTAATAGAGGTGTTGCTTATGTGATTCTTGGTGTTTGGCAGGATTCTGGTCGGTAGCACTGCGTCCATCCCACCTCAGGCGACCGATTAGCTAGGCGGTGGGAGAGAGAGTGAGGTCGACCCTTAGCGCACTTTTTTCCTCAATAAAAACAACCTGATGTGGTTGAAACTATCGCGATACCCTAAAAGCCGTAGCTTGGAGGGTTGCCAACTGACGGGATAACTTGGACACCGCAGACAGTCCGGTATGTATCTTGTTGTGTGGAATGGCTTAGTGCGGGCTGAGAGTCAGGCTCAATGGCTCCTTCTTAATGTGGCCTTTATGGTGTTCCCAGGAGGAAGCCTACCTAGCAAGGTGGTGTTTTTGTGGCGCGTGTTGGAGTGTGTTTCGCGTACACCGCCTGTGCACTCCGCTATCTCCGATCTTCTCGACTTTTGTCTTGACATGGGGTTCAGGCGTGGGAATGGTAAGAGAGTCTACTTTCACTATAATCCCGTGGGAGTCACCACGCTGCTTCAGCTTGCTGAGGCTCATGGTGGACGTCGTCGAGAGCAACGGTCGGACTGTTGGTCGGTTGCAGGTTTCAGTGGTGTTAGTCGCGGGATACAAAGTCTCCTCATTGCCTTTTATTAAGGAAATCGGCCAGCGATTTCCCAATTTACTCGCACTGAGTTTGCTTACATACTCGTGACAAACAAGGTTCTCTAAGGCAGTGCGTTCCAAAAGCATGCTGCTTTCATTAAATACTATCAACTGCTGTCAATATAGGCAACACTACTAAATGGAAGGAGCAACCTCATCAATGGTTTACATTACGCAAACCTTAATTGGGGCACTTCTCTGATTGCGGGATTGCTATTTTATCACAGAAAAGAGAACCCTGTAAATTACAGGGCCATGACCTTTCGTTTCTGCAGAGGCTTTAGTAAGTAGCATGCAATTTCCTTAAGTAGGTAACACTTCAGGATGTGAAGTTTGGAAGCTGAGTACAGCTTATTTTTCGTAACTCCCTTGAGTCTGACCTGTGACTCAGGGTAACAAATGAATTGCCTAGTCGATTCGCGAGTTCGGCAGCTCTGTGAATCCGTTGGGACTCATAAATACTGGTAAGAAGTCCCCAGCTACTATTTGTAGGACTATTGTGGGTTGGCGAAAACTGAATTTATCAACTTGTACCCACGTAGCCGATAACTGGCATCTTGGGACTTTATTTGACTTGTTTCCTTTTCGATCATAAAAATTCTCTTGATGTATTTTAATACAGACAGAAACAGGGCTTTATTGAAATGGGAACATTCGCAGGACGTACAACGGCACTGTTTTAAAGGGATTCTGTTCTGGGTGAGTCAAGGCAAGAAGCGCGCGACGATCTTTTGTCAAAATAAAAGAATATACTAATTATCCAACGATAGGCCAATAAATTTGCACGATTGTTAAATTTCGCAAAACTTCGGTCCTACTTTATATAAAGAGCAAACTTCTCCCGCACGCGAGTTTTTTTAAATTTATAAACCTGTTACAATAACCTTTGCATCTGCTTTTGCCGGGCACCAGCCAAGGAGGTCTTACTGCGGTCTTTTGCACACTCAGCTCTTACGTAGGCGACCAGTTTGATCACCTCCTGCTATATGTGCGCACAGCTCTCGAACAAACGCCTAGTCATAGCAGACTGCCGCCTGAAGGCCACATTTCGAGCTAGGCATCTGCTCCGAGTAAGGTATGAGAGCACCCGCGCACGTGTGCTACAGGAGGTGACTGGACAAGTCTGTTGTAATTTCGAAAAGCAAGATGCCAAAATACCAACAGCAACTGTAGGCACCTCCACATAAAACTTGTGTGCAGAGATGGCGGAAATCAGTGGAAAATACAGGGTAACCAGACTTACCGCCTCGAGTGTTGCTGCAGCCTGGAGGTGAAGCATTGTGCCATAGGAGACCGCATGGTAAATGCTCTGTTCAATCCTGGTGAGAAAAAAAAGATATACAGTCGAATACAATGACAGAAAGGTTAACTCACATTGACTTGGCAGTCTCTTTCGCTTCCTGGAATTTGTTGTCTAGAAAGAGGTTAAGGACATGCTCGGCTGCATTTATTCCCTCCATCAGTGGGATCTGGGGTTTCCTGCAGCAAAAATGTCACATAATATCAAAAATTCTTACTCAGTGACTGCCGAGGCTGGACTCCCGTTTCCCTGAAAATCACGTTAATAGAGTAAGGGGTTCAATGAGTTAGTGCATTAAAACGGATAGCCGGCAAAAGATACTGATTAAGGGTATGTCCAATCTTCAAATAATTGACAAGTTCACATAGACGAAAACCGTTATAGAGATAGGTGCATTTTAACTCATGATCTCCCATTAATGCTTTCTAGTCCATAGCAGCAATTTTTACCGGGTGAACTTTTTCTTATCTCTCAGTACACAGAAAGTATGACATTTTTAGATCAGAAAGTTACATCTTTTTCATCGTATATCGTTACGTGGACATACTGGGACTAGTTCAGTTCGGTTCAGTTTTTATTAGGGAAATATAGGTGAATAACTTTGAAATTCTTCTTTGTACAGAGCTATGATGCAGAACCATGTGGCGTTGCCAGTAATGGAACTGCGTTAGGAGGGCAGACAGTAAAAAACTCCTTAGGCATTGTTTATAAGTCTAGCTTTGAATGAGTAAATTCAATTCTGTGACATAAGAACTCAAAAGACTCAAATGGTTATCGTGTTTGACAAGCTAGTCTAACAGAAACCAGGCCAACACTTTTATTTTACTTCGCAGCTAATTGTTTTCCGATTGCTAGGTGGTCCGTTGCGTACGCGATTCAAAACATTAAATAAGTGTTACTCGCAACTTATTTTTCGAGCAATGCTTAAAATAGGCTTTGTCTAAATCTCTCATGCCCAGGGTCGGTAAATGGCCAGTCTTTATCGAATGCAGTGTACATAAACCGTAAGTTTACGTACCTCGACAGTTACACCTTCCATCACAAATGCATTTTGCATTTTCACTCATCCTTTACCAGATTTCCTGTCAGTCTTCAACGTAGTGAG